ATATATTAGGGGTGCAACCAAACAAGAAATGTATTATATTACAGATATATTACAGATATATATGTATTTTCCAGGCACACTGTGGTTCAGTTCTATTTTACACTTAGGTGACTATGTTACCTTCAGTTGAAATGTAAATGCAGGATATACTGTATAAAAAATAAATTTGGCTGCATTTTAGCCTAAATGTCTTGAAGTGAGGCCTGAGCTCAGCTGCAGACTGAGCTTCAGGAGGGGTTTTGTACAAATAGGCAGTGCTTTGTACCAACAAGAATTTAGGCAGCTCCAAATGGCTAACATAAGAGAATCAATGATTTCTCAAACGTGCATAAATGAGTCAAAGCAACATCCTGGATGTGTTTTTGACGAGGGGAAGACATTATAACATGATATAAAGCTAAAAATTTTAAATATTATTATATTATCAATTATCTATTTTGTATATCACCCCCTTTAAATGCAGTAATTAGTGCAAACAGAGTTCTGATGAACTGCACTGTTCATATGTCCAAACCTTTCAGCAGGACATTTTGAGGTTAAAAAGTCATTTTTGTTGATTTTATGCAATATTCAAATTTTCTTAAAATCAAATTTTGAGGTTTTCATCATGGAAAATATCCTATAATCAGACAATCTGATATGAATTTGTTTATTCATGTTGTAGAGAGTTTTCTTATTATTACAGGGGAGTCATGCTGTAACCCAGAGGTTCTCAAACTAGGGTCCCCGGAGCCCCAGGGGTCCACGAGAGGTATCTTGGGGGGTCCCCAAAAATTTTTTACTAAAATGTTACTTTGGTTTTTATTTTTAAAAATGCATGAAGAACAATGAACTAATAAAACAAACATAACAAACTTCATAAAAATATATATTTCCATGGCATTTAGGGGTTGAAATGACAATAAACAGGGGGTCTCCGGAATATTTTTTGCCCTTGTAAGGGGTCCCCAGACCCAAATGGCTTGAGAACCCCTGCTGTAACCGGAGGGTTGCCGGTTCGACCCCTCAGCCTCTGTGGAGCTTGATAAAGTGCTATATAAATTCAGTCCATTCACCATTTTTTCAGCAGCTCAGAGTGAACCTCCTTCTCAGGCGTTTTGACACGTTTTTCTCCAGAGGCAGTAAAACTCTTTGGTGGTTTGTGAATCACGTGTTCTTTCTTTTTTTCCCTCCATTCACAATCTTAGGATGTGTTAATGCTGAGCTCTAACACCTTTGTGAGCTGAGAGCTTTTGTCTGCTACTAATAAAACACGTTTGGGCAGATAATATCTTGTGAAACCGCAGACATAAAGACCCTCGCTTCTGGAATGAAAATGAGGCGCTCATATTCTGACATGATCATGGCTGTAAGACATATATTAGGTATATGTGACCCATTGAGACAGCGTGATCTGAATAAACATCCTCTCTCTATCAAGATAACTCTTTTCAGATCTGGGTCATTTTCTGACAAGTGACACATGCTGTATTGTTAGAAGTCTTTGCTTGAAGTGAAACACATTTTTAGACGTATTTCAGACCAGAGTTTAAGGCTAAGATTGTTTTTGGTTGAGAAATGTTTTAAGGATTCATAGACTTAAATATAAAGATCAATAGACTGAGCCCCGCCCATACCGTACACTGGTAGGCTCTGTGACAGCATGGAGGAGCAAAAATGGCGTCTAAAAGGGCAACAGCTCACAGCCTCCATAGAAACTAATAGATAAACAGCAGCTGAACGGGATCTGTTTCACAGATTATCAGTCATGTTTTTATAATAAATTAATAATTATGTTAATTTCATTTAACAATCATGTAAAACAGCAGATTTATACTAGCCCGGTTTAAACCAGACCCTGTCCTTCACTTTGCTTCGTACAAGGGTCTGGACTTGATACATAGAGAAGTGTTTCTTGCAGGAGGCGTGGCCTCTGCTGAAGTTTAAAATGATTGGATCAGTTGGCTGCGACGTATGTCGCTGTGAAGGAGGCTAAGCTAAGAAGCTAACCGGAATTCGCGTGTGCTGTAAACAACCCTACTGAGAGGAGAAAAGTACCGAACTGAACGAGACAACTGTAAATGAGAGCTGCAGCTTTGTCAGACAAATTTATTTTAATTTGAAGCCTTATCAACACAGACTGGTTTCATTCACTTCCTCCACTGCCGTATGCTAAAATAACTAGCAGACACTGCAGAAAATCGAGTCATTCTAAACTCCGCCTTCTGTTTGCTGATTGGCCCAGGTAAAATAAACTACAAGCAGACACTGTGCATAAAATTGACGTTCTGTTCTCTGATTGGTCCGGCTAAAAATCTGCCAGCGAAATCTAACTCAGTGGGCGAAGTCCCAGACGGAGCAGTGAAGGGAAACTAGAATTGAGCGGAGCTGCGTAGGAAGGCAAGGACCAGGCTAGATTGATACAGAAAAATATACATTTTATAAATAACAATGATGTAAACCAGACCTGAAGTCAGCCTGTAACTTAGACTTTAGCTTGTTGAAAAATGATGACTTCAGCTAGTAATAAAGTATATTTATTA